GGTAGTGGAAAAACCCTCGTGTTTGTTCTTCCTCTCATAATGTTCTGTCTGGAGCAGGAAGTGGGGATGCCCTTCATATCGAATGAGGGCCCTTATGGCCTCATAATCTGTCCCTCTCGAGAACTCGCCAAACAGACTTTCGACATCGTTCAGCACTACACGAACAGCCTCAGGGCCGAGGGCTGCCCTGAGATCAGGTGTTGTCTGGCTATCGGTGGAGTTCCACCTGCTGAGTCCTTGAAGATCATCGGCAGAGGAGTCCACATCATGGTGGCGACTCCAGGAAGACTTATGGATATGTTGGGAAAGAAGACTGTCAAGTTGGACGTATGCAGGTACCTTTGTATGGATGAGGCTGACAGGATGATTGACATGGGATTTGAGGAGGACGTCAGAACAATTTTCTCGTTCTTCCGGGGACAGAGACAGACGCTTCTGTTCTCGGCGACGATGCCCAAGAAGATTCAGAATTTTGCTAGATCTGCTCTTGTTAAACCTGTGACTATCAACGTGGGGAGGGCTGGGGCTGCGTCGATGAACGTCATCCAGGAGGTAGACTACGTCAAGCAGGAAGCGAAGATTGTGTATCTACTGGAATGTCTGCAGAAGACACCGCCACCAGTGCTGATTTTTGCGGAGAAGAAACAAGACGTCGACGCCATTCATGAGTATCTTCTGTTGAAGGGGGTGGAGGCTGTTGCAATTCATGGAGGAAAAGATCAGGAGGAGAGATCGAGGTCTGTGGAGGCCTTTAGAAAGGCCAAGAAGGATGTTCTCGTTGCCACTGACGTCGCCTCCAAGGGTCTCGACTTTGCTGACGTCCAGCATGTCATTAATTACGATATGCCTGATGATGTGGAGAATTATGTACATCGCATTGGACGTACTGGACGCTCCGGGAAGACTGGAATTGCCACGACGTTCATCAATAAATCGAATGATGAGTCTGTTCTTCTTGATCTCAAGCATCTGCTCATGGAAGCCAAGCAGAAGGTTCCACCGTTTCTACTCGAACTCTGCTCGGAGAACGAAAAGTATCTCAACCTTGGTGACGAGAGGGGCTGCAGTTATTGCGGTGGACTTGGACACAGGATCACTGAGTGTCCCAAACTCGAGGCCATTCAGAATAAACAGGCTTCCAATATTGGACGCAGGGATTATCTCGCTAGTAATGCTGCGGATTATTAGGGGTTTCATAAGCTCACTCCTATTGGATTAACGATCATTGGGATTCGATTATTTATTTTCCTAAAAAAAAATAAAATGCATTTGATGAGAAATATCAAATTGTAAAATCTGAGAGGAATTTAGAATATTGAATAAATTCTTATTACACAGATATATCAATGAACAATGATTTAATTTACCTCATTAATACGTAATGTTATTTATACAAAGCCCGTGCAAAAATACAGCCAAACAATTCTTTTACATATGTATATTGTTGTATGTATTAATATATAATCTGCATTTTGTTGATAGTTATTGTTTCTCTCGGGTCATGAAGATTTGGACGAAAACACTTTTGATGTTGGAAGCAGTTCTATGTACATTTTTTTCCACGTAAAAACAATTCAGTTCCTAAATTATTGCACATACTGCGTTACTTTTGTTCTAGTTCGTATTTACACAGTTGAGGATTCAAATAGGTAAAATAGACTTAACGTTAACTCATTAACTAGTACAATTCCCTGGTTATCGATATTCCCGCTGCATCCCTAGACAGCTTCGAGTGAAAAGCGTATCAAAGCATTTTTACACGTCAGAATAGTCCCGAATTCTCACCTCGGCAGTGCGTGGAGTAGTTAAAGTATTTAATATATTTTGCGTTGGCACATATCACAATAATTAACACGTTTCATCTCGTTAGGAATTCATTTCAGGAGCAGAGAAGTAAATAATTGCAACTCGACTTTCTCTAGTCGAGTTTTTGAGAAATAACTCGGAATCTATCAGAGAGAACGGAATATTTCTCAGAACATTTTGTTATTGAATGTTGCCTCTCTCAGACGATTCAGAGATAGCTTTACTTCTTCGCTGCTGATTCAAGGAGTTCTCGCCGATGTCTTCTAATTTTTCATGTTTTTTTTTTTTAATTTTTGAGAGAGCGTGGATCAGATTGACTTGAAAAAAATACTGTTTTTTACAGTGACCCTTCAAAATTCATCGAAATCCTTCATTTCATGCCCCTTTTATGTCCTTTTTGTGTTCTTCTCGCGTCCCGATTATTTCAAATTCTATTGCTCTACTGTAACATTTGAATAAATTTTCAAGGTACTTAGACGATTTCAACGAAGAGTGACCCTTACTCATTTATTAAAGTTTTTTTAATTTTTGCGAAAGTTTACTGAGAACATAGGAATATTTTTCCACGACAATAAAACTTCATACGACATTGAATAATAATAAAACTTAAAAACGATGTATTTTTGCAATTTTATTAAACGTTTCGCGGAAATTTCTAAAAAACTTGAAAAATTAGAAGATATCGGCAATGATTCTTTAAAGAAAAAATACTACGAGTTTTAAATGTCATGGATTATTGCAATGAAGCTCTCCACATGTTTTCTCCATTGCTTTTACTTTTTCCGAGTCATTGACGTTTGAAACTTGTAGAAACTTTCCTTTAAG